TGGCCACCAGGGAAAGCTGGGAAGGGCTAGCCTCCCACTAGTTTGAATTAAGGGTCTACACAGCCCTTAATTCGAACTAGCTAGTTCGAACTAGGCTTAATCCTCGTAAAATGAGGTTTACCTAGTTCGAACTAAGCGCTCCGTTAGTTCGAATTAAGTTCGAACTAACGGCGCGCTAGTGTAGCGCCTATGAAAGTTAGTTCGAACTAATGTCCGTTAGTTCGAACTAACTTTGTAGTGTAGACATACCGTTAGTGTAAATCTAGACTAGAAACCTCTTTCAAAAGAGAGCGTTTAGACTACATCCAGTACTTTCGAAGAAGTGAGCTGCTTTTTTGAAAGAGAGCACCCAGGCAGTCTGGATGCTCTCTTTCGAAAAAGTACAGTTTGTATTACAGAGCACCTTTTTCGAAAGAGCACTTTTGAAAAAAGGTGTTATTCCTCATAAAATGAGGTTTTCCGCAGTCAAAAAAACTGCTGCGTTCTTTCATTTTACTTTCGAAAGAATGCGGAAGCAGTCTAGACGCAGGGGAAGTTTTTTCACTTTTTTTTGAAAAAACTCTGTAGTCTAGACACACCCTTAGTAGTAGTGGTGGCAGACGGAATGAAGGGCCAGCCATTATTCTCCATTCACCACTTCATGGATAGTGTCCTGTATCCATGAATGCCATGGACTTGCAGTATAACTCTGCCTCTGCTCACAGCACACTCTACTAGGGCTCACACTTCCTCCATAGTATTTTTCACCCAGATCCCCAGCCAGGAGATCTCCAGGGCTCTGGCCTCGTCCTCACTACATACCTTTGCTGTGTACTATGTAATTATTCAGCAATCTAGAGACAATGCAACCTGTGGGAGGACAGTGCTCCAACCAGTGCAGAACACTGACCCCACCTCCTGGACTTGGGCTGTGAGTCACCTGATTGGAATACACATGAACAAGCACTCGAAGATTATCCGACCTTCGTTTATCTGACATTCCGTGTTATCCGACATGCCACCCGTCACATCATGGCAAAGGACTCCAGGGATGCTGGACAATGGCCTTTCTTTCCCTTTCCCTTTTCCCTGTTCCATGGCTGGACGGAGCTCTGGCTGGCAGGTCTGCAGCTCCCTCTTGTGGCTGAATAATTCACCATCATCAAGGAAGCTTTTCCCCGTTTTTCCTGTTAACTGTTTCTGGGGAAAGCGGCGAGCACCTTGCCCTGCGTCACGTCATCGCCAGGTGACATGGAGTGGTGCAGGGCGAGGGCTGTGCTTCCACCGCAGGGCAGAGCCCTGGATCTTACTCCCATTTGGGGGTAAATATAAGGGCTGGTCAAGGCAGCAGATTCAGGAGGTTTAGAACTGGATCTCGCAAGGTATTACAAAGTTCAAATTTATAAAATTAATTACTGCATTAAAGAATTTTCCGTATTACCCGATATTTCCTTTATCCGACCATCCTCTGTTCCCATTTAGGTCGGATAATCGAGACTCTCCTGTACTCCCCTTTCGTAACTGTTGTTCTTTGAGATGTGGAGTTCATGTCCGTTTCAATACCCACTCTCCTTCTCCTCTGTCAGTGTAGCTGGCAAGAAGGAATTGATGAACAGGTGGGTTGACAGTGCCCTATATTGGGTGCCACTCCAGGGAGTGCCCAGCGCAACCCTACGGCTAACTGCTAGGAGGAAAATCTTCCAGCTACTGTGCACATGGGCGCGCTCATACCTGATTGGAATGGACATGAACAACACATCTTAAAGAATGACAGTTATGAAAGACAAATAACGATTTTTTTGGGTATTGTGGCTGCTTGTAATTGGCCATTGACCAAGGGAATTAATAAATATGGCAATTACTAGTACAAAAATACAGATGTTTGTGTACCTTGTTTTCCTCTTTTGAACTCTCTCTGGTGTCATTCTCCTGGTCAAATATGACCACAAAAACATATTTTAAAAGAAAGCAAATATCCAGGCTTTTAAACTATGTAATTTGAGCAGTATTCACGATCATCTGTGCAATGTCCTGCTCATTTCACAAAGTCCAAGTGTATTATTCCAGATCTGAACTCTTAGCTCGAGATCTGACAAAGTGCTGTGGTTGTCATTGGAGGTGCTCAGAGCACAGAGTTTCTGCTGATGGCAATGAGAGGATGTTCGGCATGCACCTGGAGGAACACAGCAGCATCCCAGAAGCAGACAAGCTGGATTGGGTCCTTAAGGCTATCTAGAATACTGTAAAGAAAAGTCTTCAGGTGATTGATTTCTGAATCATTTTGTAACATTAATCATTTACATATATTTAACAGGAGAGACTTTCTTTTATCGTTATGAAAATGAAAATTTCACACTTACGTGCAACGAAACCTTGGCTAATGGGAGCAACGAAACAGTTTGGTATGAAATTCGAGAACATCTTCAAGTATTCAACGCAATTACCTGTAGTCCCATATCTCAAGGGACAAACGAACAGCCTTATAATAGAAAGCGTACAAACCGATTATCAGTTTCTACTTCCCGAAGTGGTGGGGTATTTGCATGTGAACAACTTACAAACACAGGAACATTGGGGACTCTCCCACTTTTTACCAATGTGGCTCATTGCAGACGTTATAACTTTTTTATTGTGGTGATAATAAACATGACTGCAGGTGAGTGCCTTTCGTGGTGGGTAGGGGGGTTATTTTCATCAGTAAGTTCCAGAGGCCAGAAAGAGAGTTAGTGAGATTAAGAGGAGATTATTCAGATAATTCAGGACTGAGGACCAGATTCTGCCCCTTTTACAATGAATAATACCATACACCACCAGCATTCCCCTGGCTTAAATAAGGAACAATAATGGAGGATGTATTATGTCAGTGAGGGTGAGTGAATTTAGCTTTGAATGAATGAGGTATCTGAACTAGACTGAGGAAAGTAGTGAGCCAAAGTACAATTTTTGAAAAAAGAAAATAAATTAAAACAAATATCTTGTCATTGACTAGAGATAGTTTTTGCCATACTAAGTCTACTTGCCCTGATATCTAGATACATTCCAACGCGGAGGCCTACTCAGGAAGTTTTCTGCCTTGCTCCTCGAGTTAGGAGTCCCTCGAGTTAGATTTGAAGCCATGTACTGGCTGGGTAAATGGGCCAAAGGGTCTCTAACAGGATCTGATCTGGGTAGAATACCTCCTCCCCTTGGCTCAGGAGCTACAGCTGCAGATTGTCCGTTCAGTAGCACTCTTGCAAATCCTGGCATAAGAAGTATGGCTTGCGGCAAGCTGCCGAATGCAGCACTATTGAAATTCAGGGTACTTGTCTCTCAGGGCTGCCTAAATTCATCCTGTGGGCTCCTTAAATCCACCTTAACCCCTCTCTGCCTGCGTTGTGAATTTTTGTTCTGTGTTTCTAGAGGCCCAGCACAGAATCTTCCCTATAGCGTTCTAAGCTTTCAATTAATTGTACTCACAAAATTGATTTAGCACCTATTATGCACATGCAAATAACTATTTGTGCAGATAAGGCACCACTACTGCCACCTTGACTGCCACAGCCCCGGCCCTGGTACTGGGGTTGCTGCGGCCCCTGCTGCACTATTTGGGCTCTGGTGCTGGTCCCAGCCCGAGCTCCAGCGGGCTCCAAGCCACCAGACCTCTTGCCACTGGGGCTCCCAGCCAGGACTCTCTGTTCCAGGAACACCCATGGCCCTGCTGGACCATGGATGCTGCTGGACGAAGAAGTCCCAGTTTTGGGAGGTCCAACCTGTAGTTGAAAATTTGACATTTAAAATACTTCAGAATCTCACTCTACCAGCCATTGTTTAAAATGTATTCATGCACAATCCAAAATGACTGATCTTTAACTGTCCTGTTAAACGTACACTGCAATTCCACTGCTTTATCCAGAAAATATTAATCTTTAATTGCTGTTTCACAATTTCACATTTTCACAATTTCAGCCATTTCTAATAACTATTATCATGTCCTCTTTAGTCTCCTTTTCTTCAAACTAAATAAATCCAGTTTTTTAAATCCTCCCTCATATTTCCATTTAAATCCTCCTTCATAGTGCCTCCTTCATATTGCCATGTTTCTAATATTTTTAGTTGCTGTTTTCTGGACTTTTTCTAATTTATCCTCATCTTTCCTGAAATGCAGCCTCCAGAACTGGATGTGATACTCCAGTTGAGGCCTGATCTGTGCAGAGTAGAGTGGAAGGGTTACTTTGTCTGTTCCTAAGTCCCAGAGATTTTTTCAGTGTAACTGGACATACATCTGCAGGAGGAGTAGCGTAGTTAGTACCTCTAAGAGCATGCCCCACTGGTGCTTGCAGCAGGAGTCAGAGGTGTTGTCCCTGTGTTCACCCCAGTCCCCTCTGCTCCCCTGGATCTGCTTCCTGCTGCCAATGAGTGTGGGGGTGGCTTTACCCCTTCCTGCAAGCCTCTTCCCCCAAGCAATACAGCTGGGAGCTGGGGGAGCAGAATGGGCTGGGGACAAGTTTTTCTGTTTCTTGCCGCTGGTGAGTGTGGGAGCAGGTGTGAGCCCTGCTGCCAGTGCCAGGTCCCATGCTAATCCCCCAGGTTGCTCTGGGCCCTGCAGGCCTCTGCACCAAAGTCCACAGCCAGGGTCGGTTGCCCCAACTTGTCCAATGATTGGGAAGGTTCTGCATGCTGGCTGCTGGCCTATTGCCACTGCCCCCATGACATCTGGGGGATTCATGACCCCTCTGTGTCCTCCCACTTTTCACCCTGGTCCGGTCCATGAATTATTATTTTGCTAACCACCAAGAGACTGAACATGCAATGCTAAGCTGAGCACCTTCAGCTATCCCTGGCTTCAACGGAAAGTGAGGGTGACGACTACTTTGTAGAAGGTACTCAGACTTCACAGAATTGGGCCCCAAATGGCTAGTTGGAGCTGACTTCTAGCCAATAGTACAGGTATTTGCTCCTGTTAATGTAAAAATGCCATGTAAACTATTTATTAAAATAAAATTCTCCCAGCCCTACTTCAAATAGGAATGAAACAAAGTTTTTGTATTGAATTCTGTATCTGAGATAGTGTTTTCATTGCAAAATTTTCCTACTTCTAAGATTCCTTTTAAAGACTACACATGTTACAACATGCAACCGTGTATGTTTTTCATATCGTTTGTGTTTTTCTGTATTGCAGAGAGCCAGATGTTTGAGAACATTTCTGCAAAATCATATGATAATCGTTTAGTGCAAGAAGGTGGTAACATCACTCTTTCTTGTGAATTTCAAACAAAGAGCAATGGAATCAATGTTGCATATTGGATCAAATATACAGAAACAAGCAAATGCCTGTCTTCTCTTCAGAAAGGAACAGAACTTTCCTATAATCACCACTGCTGTATTGATGAGATGATCAAAGGACGACTATTGAATCATACAAGCTTAGACTCAGACAACAAACATATAGTCCATAATATAACCATCTTGAATGTTACTTACTCTGATAGTGGAACTTATTTATGTGTTGTAAATGCCTGGTCAAAAGGGAAATATGTTTGGAAGATTGCAAATAATCTTTCTATAGAAGTGAGGAATGAAATTCCATGTAAGTCTGCAGTTTTGAAGCTGGGATTGGTAACAGCTGCAGCAGGTTGATGCTTATTGCAAAGCTTGTAGGAGACCCTGAGGCAGACTGGCTTTCTGAGAACTCAGGGAAAAACACATTAGAATTGAATATTTATACCTGCAGAAAATGGAGGCTCGTTTGAAGCCCTCGGTAGTTATTTGCTTTACAGTTGTGCTGCATTAACTCATTCAACTACTAGAGTATTCTACAGTAATCTCCCAAAATACTGCAGTATTGCTACTCTAAAATATATTGTATCGTCTCATTACAGTAGAATACTGCAGTATTTTCTCATAAAATAACTTGATTTCTGTAAGCTAATTTATCTGCTGTTTTTATTACCAATCCTTGAATACTTTAATCAGGAATCATCCACATTAAGGGGTTGCTGAATGTGTATTATCCACATAGTTGTTAAACATTGTTTGATCACTTGAAAAGCGCTGTCTGTATAATGGAGATATGATGGTAAAGTGTTCTGTTCACCATCTGGATAAAATTTTCAAGATTAACTAACCCCGGTTCTCTTTTTAGTCTCTCCTTCAGTGCCATTCCATTCCAAGGTGCCATTGTATGCTACAATCGGATCGATCGCAGGGATTATCACCATCAGTGGGATAGTATGGTTGATCTATAAAAAGAAAAAGAATAACAACTCAAAAGGTAGGAAAAGTAAAATTAGTAGGTGATAACTGTGGGAATATTTTAGCCATTGAACTTTATAGTGTGTTTTATTTATCTGTTACAGGAAAGTCATCTGCACAACTTCCCAGGTATGGTCTTGAATTGATATAACCAATGAAATATTAGTATAATTTTTAGTGGTTTTTCCAACTGATACATATTACTAAATGGATTCTTTCCTTATCTTTTTATTTTAGCGCTCAGGCTGCTGTTGAAATTCCAGGAGATGAATGTGAGCAGGAAGTTTTTGATAAACTTGGTTGATGTAATTGTCTGTCTTAGCACATTTTGAGAATTGTGCACTATGGATTTTTTAGACTGTCTATCCACGGTACTATGTTTTTAAACTTCAAGTAATGACATACTTTTGTTTTGACAAGTACCTTTTTGTTAATTAAATTGGTTTTGTTTAAGTAGGCAGTTGTTCGTTAGGGAGGGCAGTTAAGGCACTAGAATAAGATAAGGGTGATCTGAGTTAAAATCTTGGCTCTCTCACGGTACGACTACACTGCAGCGCTAATTCGAACTAACTTCGAATTAGTTAATTCGAACTAAGCTAATTCGAACTAACGCGTCTAGAACTAAAAACTAATTCGAATTAGCGTTTTGCTAATTTGAACTAGCGCGTCCACACTGATTGGACGCAGGGGGGCATTTAAGGGCAGCTGAAACCGGTTCTGGCAGGGCATCAGGTCAGTAGTTGCTTTGTGTGGCTGCTGTCTGAGGCTATCTCTGAGGCTCGTGCTTAAAGGGACCCCCCCCCGGACAGCCGGTTCTCAGCTTTTCCTGCTTCGCTATCTCTGAGGCTCGTGCTTAAAGGGCCCCCCCCCCCGGACAGCCGGTTCTCAGCTTTTCCTGCTTGCTTGCCAACCCCGCTGAGAGACAGCAAAGCGTTGGTCTCTGTGCCCGTCTGTGTCGGTGGTTC